AAAAAAAAAAAAAAAGAAAGAAAGAAAAAAAAAAGAAAAAGAAAGAGCTCAGGTGTAGTGATTCACGCCTATAATTCCAGCACTTTGTGAGACCGAGGCAGGTGGATCACTTGAGACCAGGAGTTCCAGACCACCTTGGCCAACATGGCAAAACCCCATCTCTACAAAAAATACAAAAATACGCACCTGTAGTCCCAGCTGCTCCGGAGGCTGAAGCAGGGAATCGCTTGAACCAGGGAGGCAGAGGTTGCAGTGAGCCAAGGTCGTGCCAGTGCATTCCAGCTTGGGTGACAGAGCAAGACTCTGTCTCAAAAAAAAATGAGAACCTTGAAAAGTTGGAAATGGCTTCAATTATATATCCTCCAGAATTACCGGTGTTTTTTCTAAATACCACATCCTTGACCCCATATGGACACCAGAGGGCATCCTGAACTCACTGAAGCCACAATCGTTGCATTGTGCCAATAGAATCCCTTGTAAAGGCCGGGCACAGTGGCTTACACCTGTAATCCCAGCACTTGGGAAGCCGAGGTGGGAGGATCACCTGAGGTCAGGAGTTCGATACCAACCTGGCCAACATGGTGAAACCCCATCTTTACTAAAAACCTGTAATCTCAGCTACTAGAGAGGCTGAGGTAGGAGAATCACTTGAACCCAGGAGGCAGAGGCTGCAGTAAGCTGGGATCACACCATTGCACGCCAGCCTGAGCAACAAGTGCTAAACTTCATCTCAAAAAGAATCCCTTGTTGGCCTGGTGTGGTGGGTCACGCCTGTAATCCAAGCACTTTGGAGGCCAAGGCGGGCGGATCACCTGAGGTCGGGAGTTCAAGACCAGCCTGACCAACATGGCGAAACTCTGTCTTTATGTATTAAAAAAATATATATTAGTTTGGAGAAGAAAGTAGATAAATAAAAAATAAAAAGAAATTAACTAAATAAATAGAATCCCTTGTAAAGATTGGGCTTTGGCTGGGTGCAGTGGCTCATGCCTGTAATGCCAGCACTTTGGGAGGCCGAGGGTGAGCCACGGTGGCTCACTTGAGGTCAGGAGTTCAAGACTAGCTTGGTCAACATGGTGCAACCCCATCTCTACTAAAAATACAAAACATTATCCAGGTGTGGTGGCATACACCTGTAGTTGGGCACGGTGGTGCACACCTGGAGTCCCAGCGACTCAGGAGGCTGAGTCAGGAGAATTGCTTGAGCTCGTAAGGCAGAGGTTTCAGTTAGTCGAGATCATACAACTGCACTCCAGCCTGGGCAACAGAACAAGACTCCATCTCAAAA